GATCTCTGTAATCTACTAACTGTGTTTATAATCCCTGTTAGTAGATTAGCGGATTACGCACACACACACCACACTGTCATTGTGGTGATTGTGAACGTAAAGATGTGTGCGTTTGTGTTTAATGCGATGGAGCCAAGTGTGTTCATCAGAATGTGTGTCTATCGGCTTTTTTCACTCTGAAACGGAGCAGTGGCTGCTGTGGTATTTACTCCTCTGTTGCTAGGACACTCCCTTTGAACATTTTAACCGAGCCTTTTCATTGGCTGGCCTCGGTGATGCAAGACTCTCTCACCCCGAATCTTTCCCGAGCGCCCATAGAAACATGCCCGTCTGCACTTCCTCCTCGCTCCTCCGCTGTCACTCTTTGTCTCACGCTTCCCCTCCTCCTCCTCCTCCTCCTCAGTCCCCTCTTCGCTCAGTGTCTTATTTCTCTCCATGGACGTCTCCTTGTCCAGGTTCTGTCCTCCTCGTCCCACCAGCGTTGGAGGTGGTTCCAGGCGTTGGCGCCACTCTCGATAAACTCGTCGCTCCTTCTCTCCTCGTAATAAAGTCTAATCTGTAAAATCATGTTGACGGCGTGCGGTCCAGCACAATCATTTTGTCCTACTGTCGTGAAGGATTAGGGTTTTATGTGTCTCACATTGTTCCTGGATCCATGTGTGGCCATGCATCCTATTAGGCTATCTTACTAAGTGCCAGGGTGATCAGGGTTGACAAGGCAGGGGGAACCTGGAGTGCCATCGTTTAAGAAGTTTAGATTTTCAAATAAAACTATAAGCATTGAAGCACCATTGATTTGATTCCAAACTCCTCTCACTCTGCACAAATAAATAGAAAAAGATCAAAAAGTGCATCCTAATTGGTGCGCTATAATAACCATTAGCAGCGTTGCATTGTTTTGTGGACAAGCGGTGTCAAGCCCTGCTTCTTAAAAGCCACAGTTTTGCAGGTCGTAGAGGTTTTGCTGCTCCAACACACCTGATTTGAATAAATGGGTGATTACCAGGTTTCTGCAGAACTTGAAGAGGTAATTCAATCAGTGAATCCGGTGCGTTGAAGCAGAAAAACCTCTGAAACATGCAGGATAGCGGCCCTCCAGCGCCAGGATTTGGGCACCCCTTGTGAGAACAAAATTAGCAAAACCATGCAAAACATTTCCGGTGGACACCCGGTCCTGTTCGGAGCTCTGCAGCAGGCACACTTCACAGGAGAAACATTATTCATCGTTTAAATGGGTCGTGGAAAGTTAAATTTTACGTGGCTGAACTGGCATTTTTTTGCACATTTGCAGTTTAAACTGTTTGATTTTCTATGATTTTTCCCCACATAATGTCTAACGCACTAACTTTTGAGCTGACTAAACAGCTGCAAAGTCCATCTGTAGGTACTATTTGTTTTGCCATTTCTCTGCCTGCCTTAAAGATGCTATCAGGGAGTGAAAGATACAGGTGTGGTTACCATGGTGACCCTTCGCGCCACGAGCAACATTTCTTTTGCAGTTCACACATTGAAAAGTTGACATTTTGTCAGCTTAGATTGTTATTAAAGGATGGTTCAAATGAATATTGAGCTTTTTACAGTTCCTAAATCACATGTGTAAAATCAGGCACCACCTGCGCAATACATTCATATTTACTTCTGGTATTTAAGGTTGGCGCTAAACTCTCGTTTTTGATCCAATACAACTACTTGTTGTCGATTTTTTTATACAAATATATTTATAAATGTCAGAATGATTGCAGAGCTGAAACATAGACATGAACAAACTGGACTTAGTGTTTCAATGAACAGGAAGAAGGCATTAAATAGCTAGATCGCATCGCAAAATACTGACTTCAAACATTTGTATTAATAAAAAGGTCATGTGTACAGAGGTGTAGAGCTGTTTCATTACATTAAATGTGACCCATCATATCAAAATGAGGATTAAGTCAAATTTGGTCAAAATAACCTAATTACATTTTCAGATTCCTGCTTTAAAAACTGCATTTTGATACCTGAATGATTCTGATATCATAAGCTTATCCAGAGATATGACCTAATTTGTCTTGCTGGTTATGATAATACTTTACTGTTTGGTCTGAATCCTAATTTTATATAAATTTATTGAGTCATTTTTGAAGTTAATATAAAGAGGAAACCTCAAATAGTATTTGTATATTAAGATTTCACAGTTGTAACAAAATTTAAAAATTGCTAGC